AGAGACTGTAGTGATCACAGCAGATATGAATGTGCCGTCGGACACTCTGAGGCAACGACAGCATTAAGGACAAGATAATACCTTCCTGCTTGTGTTGAAATTAACATTTGACAGTTGATGTAAGGTTTCCACATGATAATGAGTTATAGATTCAGTTAATTTTCTACATTATTCTGATGAGCAGGAAAAGCCAGAGGAATAGAATCTCTATACAATATTTTTAAGAGCTTTTTATCTGATTAATCAAGCCCTTGGGCCTACAATCCTTACAACTCAATCACAACAACTCCCTGAACTATTCTAAATCACAGTCCAAATGCTTGGTGATGCTTAGCACACCAACTCTTTTAATGAGAGTACATGGCATGATTTTTCTGCATTCTCGTTCTTTTGTCAATCTGTGTAGGGAGCAGGATTCTTTGCAGTATATTCTTATGATTCTGAAATTTTTATGTCAGTCAACTTGATATTATAATTTATAATTTTTTTCTACTTTTGAGTTCTTATTCTTTTATTGATGTGTAATTGAAATTTATTTGAACCAAAATATAGAATTTGTTGAATATTGTCTTAATCTTCACAATTGTCTCGCTATATACCCAATCCATTTCTTCAAATTTTCTAGTTCTCCGAAATTTCCTGTTTTTGTAATTTCCCAAGCAGATATTGTGGTACTGAAATGACTTTGTATCAGTTTCCTCCTGTGGGCCGAGCCTGGAGATGGTCTTTCTCCTCCTCCCTACTCCCTTTCTCCTCGCTGCCCACTTCTCCTCCATAGATTAGAGCGTCTGTTGGACTAATGCTGTAGACCCTGGATGGCACAGCCCCAGGAGACAGTCCCACTACGTAACCTCCCCTGTGCCCTGCTACCTTCCTGCCCATGCCCCCTCATGAAACAGCTGCAGCAATTCCCCCAGGTCAGGGAGGCCACGTAGCACTATTTGCCCTCCTTCTCTTCCTGCTTCCCTTCCACCATAAAGCGAGCGGTGCTCCAGGCGGCCTTTAGATCCTGACAAGCTATGGTTCCACCTGGTCCCGAGCTTCAAGAAGAGTTGTGGTTTCTTCGTTCCTCTTCATCTCCCACTGTTCTCCCCAGCTTTCAGACCCTATGCGGTGCAGGTCATAGCAGTTTTCATTATTTCAATTTTATAAAATTAGAAGGACTTCATATATAGGCTCTTTCTTAATGAATTGGGCATGGATATTTGTAAACTTACCCATTTTTTCGTAGTATACAGTACATGTATTGAAATTTAAAAGAATGTTGTCTAATTAATGAATTTTCCAGCCTTTGCTTATTATCTTCATTCTCAAAGACACAGGCACTTGGGAAATATGTGCTTCATACAGCACCAATCCCACATATGTTAGAGATCCTGCCAATTACTATATTCTTGCTGGTAATTCAGGCAATTTGTCTGTCTCAGATAACATGCCTGTGTCAAAATTACCACAATGTTTGCAGTAGATAAGAGTGAACGTTATTCCCGTTTTATGAATGGGTCATCCTCCAATTTATTAAAGAGGATGGGAGCTTACATCAGGGCATCGAGGGGGAGCGCTTTGTAAGTTGGAGATAATGAAGAGGTGATCTGATTCCAGATCAGAATGCCTAATGACAGGTGACTGCACTTTACTTTATTTGTAAAATTTAAAACAGTTATTTCCTCTCAGATACACTAGAATCTCTTGTTGTATGGAAAATCTGGACTGTTTTGGTTCCTACATGTTCCATAGTTTAAATATGTTTAGGTTATGTTTAGAACAATTATTATTTTGTTTTTGGTTTATCTTCCTCTGTAGAGATGCAGGACTCAGCAGGAAATAATGGTCTTCTATAAGTTTTACTTTATTCTTCCACTTCTGGTCAGCATTTCATGTAGATAAGAGCTTGACCAACCTGAGGCCATTAGCACTACATGTATTTACTTCGCTTCTGGTTGGAGGTCTTCACATCTCTCAGAAGAGATTCAAATGACCAATAAGTATGTGAAAATATATTCAATACTTTGTCCTTTAGAGAAATTTAAATTAAAACAATACTGAGCCCTATTTGCATCTTTTCCTGCTATATGGAGAGCACTGAGGGTGAGAAGCAGGGAAGATTTAAAACCCAGATTAGATGTGAGTTTGCAGGTCAGGTCTGGTGAAAATAACATTTGGATAAAATAAGAATTTTACGTAGCTGTGTTATGATGTTGTCTTAAAATTCATAATCTTAATTTTTCACACACTCAAACAACACATGACACAGGTTTCAGTGTTTACTTCAATGCACAAATGTGGAACTTCTCACAGAAGCACAAGTGAGTTATTCAGTGTGATCACAAGTTCATACCTGGTACAAGTCTACATGATGAAGTTCTTCCTCAGGACCTCCAGGAGAGAGGTGGATATGCATAGTGAGATTCACAGGGCCTCCCTGTGTTAAAAATATGCTCTGATTTTTCTTTTTTTTTCATTTTTGTTGAATGTATTGGCACAATCTAGGTATACAATACAGTTACATTCATCGTTGGGATCCAGTACCTTGACATGATAGGTCTTGATTCTCACTTTTCCACCTTGCACCTGCCCTCCCTTCACCCCCTTCTCCCCTCCCCATTTACAAACACTTTATTTCCATTTTTTCAGTTTCTCACATTTTTTTCCTCTCCCTTATTTCCTTTCCAGCACCCTTCCCACTTTCCCTACACCTTTAGCCCTTTAATTCCTATTTCACATTATTAATTATCTCATTAGGATCCTGTGTACTATTATAGTTTTTCACATCAAAGAAATGATTGGGTGGGCAAATAGGTTTTTTCCAAGATTTAGCTATTACAAACTGTGCCGCTATAAACATGGGTGCACATACCAAATAGTTTCCCTGGTGTGAATATTCTGCAACAATGCATAAGATTCTAATAAGATTACTGACATTTAGAAATTTGAAGAAAGGAGCTAAACGTGTAGGGAAGGTGTGATGTGTAGGGGAAGAACAAAAAGGGAAAAGAAAAAAATGTGAGAGAATGAAAAGATGAAAATAAAGTGTTTGTAGATGGGGAGGGGAGGAGGGGGTGAAGGGAGGGCAGAGGTAAGGGGAAAAAAATGAGAATCAAGACTTGCCATGTAAAGGTACATGATCCCAACAATGAATGTAACTGTACTGTATCCCTAAATGTACCAATAAACTCAAT